CACAATATCATATGATATAAACTCCAGTAGCCAGTGAAACAGCCATAATTAACCCTATCCCTACTAACAGTTGTTAAAGATGGGGAGTTTTATCAATTAAACCCTAATGTGATAGTGATTCAAAATGAAGTTAAAAGTTGATTAATATTAAATAAAATCAGTGAGTGCATTGCTTGAATTGAAAATACAGTTTGATTAAAAACGTATAGTGATACAGGTAAAGCATGAAATCAAACATTTAAGTGACCATTGAATTCATTTCAGCAACTTTTGAGGTGCTGGCAGCAAAAGAAATGAATCTGCAACCCATTCCTGCAATTCCAGAAATTTCTGGAAGTTTTACATCTCTGATTAAATATTTACATGTACATTTTAATAAGTTTTTTTTTTAAATAAATCTGACTGTTGAAAAACAGTTTATATTAAATCTAATGTTGTATTAAAAGTAGTGATTTTTAATATATAATACAGATATCAAAGTGATTTAGGCTAATAATTGGAAATAAATGCTCCTCTATTCTAAATAGTTGAAAATAAAAAAAATATAATACAAGACATCTTAATGACGAATGCACAAAACAAATTAAAATATCTACCAGAACAGTCTTGTCTACCAGAACAGTCTTGTCTACCAGAACAGTCTTGTCTACCAGAACAGTCTTGTTAACTAGAACAGTCTTGTCTACCAGAACAGTCTTGTCTACCAGAACAGTCTTGTCTACCAGAACAGTCTTGTTAACTAGAAGAGTCTTGTCTACCAGAACAGTCTTGTCTACCAGAACAGTCTTGTTAACTAGAAGAGTCTTGTCTACCAGAACAGTCTTGTCTACTAGAACAGTCTTGTCTACTAGAACAGTCTTGTCTACTAGAACAGTCTTGTCTACTAGAACAGTCTTGTCTACTAGAACAGTCTTGTCTACTAGAACAGTCTTGTCTACTAGAAGAGTCTTGTCTACCAGAACAGTCTTGTCTACTAGAAGAGTCTTGTCTACTAGAACAGTCTTGTCTACTAGAAGAGTCTTGTCTACTAGAAGAGTCTTGTTAACTAGAACAGTCTTGTCTACCAGAACAGTCTTGTCTACTAGAACAGTCTTGTCAACTAGAACAGTCTTGTTAACTAGAAGAGTCTTGTCTACTAGAAGAGTCTTGTTAACTAGAACAGTCTTGTTAACTAGAAGAATCTTGTTAACTAGAACAGTCTTGTTAACTAGAAGAGTCTTGTCTACTAGAAGAGTCTTGTTAACTAGAAGAGTCTTGTCTACTAGAAGAGTCTTGTTAACTAGAACAGTCTTGTCTACTAGAACAGTCTTGTTAACTAGAACAGTCTTGTTAACTAGAAGAATCTTGTTAACTAGAACAGTCTTGTTAACTAAAACAGTCTTGTTAACTAGAACAATCTTGTTAACTAGAACAGTCTTGTCTACTAGAACAGTCTTGTCTACCAGAACAGTCTTGTCTACTAGAACAGTCTTGTCTACTAGAACAGTCTTGTCTCCTAGAACAGTCTTGTTTACTAGAACAGTCTTGTCTACTAGAACAGTCTTGTTAACTAGAACAGTCTTGTCTACTAGAACAGTCTTGTCTACTAGAACAGTCTTGTCTACTAGAACAGTCTTGTTAACTAGAAGAATCTTGTTAACTAGAACAGTCTTGTTAACTAGAACAGTCTTGTTAGTCTTGTCTACTAGAACAGTCTTGTCTACTAGAAGAATCTTGTTAACTAGAAGAGTCTTGTCTACTAGAACAGTCTTGTTAACCAGAAGAGTCTTGTTAACTAGAAGAGTCTTGTCTACTAGAACAGTCTTGTCTACTAGAACAGTCTTGTTAACTAGAACAGTCTTGTCTACTAGAACAGTCTTGTCTACTAGAACAGTCTTGTCTACTAGAAGAGTCTTGTTAACTAGAACAGCCTTGTTAACTAGAAGAATCTTGTTAACTAGAACAGTCTTGTTAACTAGAACAGTCTTGTTAACTAGAACAATCTTGTCTACTAGAAGAGTCTTGTCTACTAGAACAGTCTTGTTAACTAGAAGAGTCTTGTTAACTAGAACAGTCTTGTTAACTAGAAGAGTCTTGTCTACTAGAACAGTCTTGTTAACTAGAAGAGTCTTGTCTACTAGAACAGTCTTGTTAACTAGAAGAGTCTTGTCTACTAGAACAGTCTTGTTAACTAGAAGAGTCTTGTCTACTAGAACAGTCTTGTTAACTAGAAGAGTCTTGTCTACTAGAACAGTCTTGTTAACTAGAACAGTCTTGTCAACTAGAACAGTCTTGTTAACTAGAAGAGTCTTGTCTACTAGAAGAATCTTGTTAACTAGAAGAGTCTTGTCTACTAGAACAGTCTTGTCTACTAGAACAGTCTTGTCTACCAGAACTGTCTTGTCTACCAGAACAGTCTTGTCTACCAGAACAGTCTTGTCTACTAGAAGAGTCTTGTCTACTAGAAGAGTCTTGTCTACCAGAACAGTCTTGTCTACTAGAACAGTCTTGTCTACCAGAACAGTCTTGTCTACCAGAACAGTCTTGTCAACTAGAACAGTCTTGGTCTTATCTCTACCATAGTGTAAAATTATATCTTTCTCATATTAAAGTAGAACCAACTGTAAATGAATATTGATAATCTGAGTAAAACATTTTTCTATGACATTTCTAAATCAACTGTCGATAATAATCTCACATCCGCATGATGATAATAAAATCTAGATCAATTTTTTTTCTAATTTATAAAATTCACAGAAAATACAAAATGAAATTTATACAACAAACAGAACGTGCTAGAAACATACAATATAAGATAATCTGATTCTTTAAATTCGTAAAATTTATGTAAAATTAAAAAAAAAACTGAACACACTATACAACACGATACAATACAATAAATTACAATACAACACGATATAACACAACATAATACAACAAATGACAAAAAAAGATTTGGATGAAGCTAGAAATTCTGAGAAAAATGAAAGCGATTCTGAAACAGACTGAAGATAATTCTAAAATACAACTGAATTGATCACTGGACAACAAGGACTATCCTTACCCTGCGATGGTCATCTAATTCTCTTTTAGACAGGGTTTTCCAGTCCATCTTAATGAATATTAATGAGATATATGAATATTAATGAGATATATGAATATTAATGAGATATATAAACATTAATGAAGATATGAGTTTTGTGTGCTCTAAATTGGGTGAAGTAAGATAGCCAACATCATGCAGTGTGCAATGAGGGAAATATTGCCATCAGCATGAGACATTGTTTTCTTTATCTTATACTGTCACAGGATATTTAACATGCACAGCCTATAGCACACAGAGCCTTGTGTTATTGTCCCATCTTGTGTCTTAACATAGCATATAAATGATTACATATATTGTAT